ACACCCTACAACTTGGATGGAGCTCAGAATAATTATGCTGAGTGAATGGAATCCACAAAAGAAGAGTACATACCACATGATTCTATTTATATAAAATTCTAGAAAATGCGAAATTTGGAAAGTATTCTATAGCATGAGAAAGCACATCAGTGATTGCCTTGGCACAAGAAAAGTCAGGAGGAATGACTCTCAATGGGGATGTAAAGAACCTGTTGGGGAATTGAAGGATATGTTCCTTATCTTATCTGGGGTGATGATTTCACAGAGGTCAAAACTTAAACTGTAAACTTTAAGTTCGTAGATTTTATGTTATGATCATTATACATCAAAAAAGCTATTTTTAAACTTTTTAATTTCCAGCTTCTTCTGAGAAACCGGAAGCTCTAGCTGCATTGTGTCTTCATAGCTGCATGGCCCAAGGGAAACCATTTCTTTTCTGAAATCCACTTGTTCTCCAGTTTGTCATGGTCTCCATCCCTTCCCTTGGTTGCACTTATCCTGACTTGTTCATTTATTTGACCCCAGTAGAAATTTATATCTGTGACTGTCACTTGACTTCTTGTCTTCCGTTAACAAATGAAGGAGTATTAGTCTCTCCCATCAGCTGAAAGGGAGACATCACCCAAATTCCTTAACTCATTCTATAGTACCCTGTTGTTTGGTCCCAACTGATTTTCCAAACCTATTTTTTAATACTGCTTGTATCAGCCTATATATGCAAGAAACTCTATTTACACACTATTGCTCCCATTCCCAAATAAGCTGGATGTTCCAGGTTTGCTTACTTAACATGTTAATGAGATTGATGTTTAAACCATTTGCAAAGAGAGGACTAAAGAAAAAGGACTGCCTTTAAATTCACTAAGGGTGTCCATCAATACATGAGTGGATTAATAAAATGTGGCATATGTATACCATGGAGTTCTACTCAGCCACAAAAAACATTGGTGAACTACTAGCACCTTTGTATTATCCTGGATGGAGCTGGAGCCCATTCTACCAAGTGCTATCACAAGAATGGAAAAACAAGCACCATATGTACTCACCATAAAATTGGTACTAATTGATCAACACTTATGTGCACATATGGCAGTAACGTTCATCGGGTGTCAGGCAGGTGGGAGAAGGGAGGAGGGGATGGGTATATTCACACCTAATGGGTATGATGTGCACTGTCTGGGGGATGGACACCCTTGTAGCTCTGACTTGGGTGGGGCAAAGGCAATATATGTAACCTAAATATTTGTACCCCCATAATATTCTGAAATTTTTTTAAAAAATGAAAATAAATAAATAAATAAATTCACTTAGGGTTTTTCATTTCCACCAAATGGTAGTTGGAAACCATTTTATTTTGTCTTTCTAAGAATGAGCAATAGAAAGAAAAAAACCTTAAGAGAAAATGATTTCTTGCTATTTGGTTCAAGATATAAGAGGTTTAAAAATAAATGCCTTCATGGAAAATGAGAGTTTGTAAAAGTTATCATCAACTACTTCATCCATATAGGCTAGTGCAGGTGTGGCTGTACATCAAGTGATGCACCAGGTGATACTCAAAGTCTTTCTGTTGTCATTAGTTATAAATATTCAGATGTCATGATATTAGTGAATCAAGCCTATAAATTTCTAGCTCTGTTGGGTCATCCCAAATTATAGATCATGTTGTAAAACATTTTTATACCTCCTACAAAGTCCCCCCAACTGTGCCACCTTATTTTGGTTTCAAATATTCTTCTTATTCACTTGCTTACAAAGATGAAGAAAAAATAATAAACAGTATGAGATTATTGAGTTTATAA